GTGACTGACCAACCTTTCCTGGCCCTGAGTGAGTGTCTGGATCAGAACAGGATGTATAAGTTCTACTATACAAAACATAGCTTACCTGGTTACTCCAGGTGAAATAGTATAGAAGATATGCCCCGAACAAACAAACGTGTTCAAAGGTAAAGGTCAAAGGTCAAGTCATAGGTCACAGTGACTTAATTCTTGCACTCCTCCATCCCAAGTGGTCCTTGTACACCTTATTTGGTTACTCCAGGTGAATATAGTATTACATTAGAAGAAATGTCCTGGACAAACTTTTTCAAAAGTAAAGTTCAAAGGTCAAGTCATAGGTCACAGTGACTTAATTCTTGCATTCCTCCATCCCAAGATGTACATTTGTACTTGTACACCTTATCTGGTTACTCCAGGTGAAATAGTATAGAAGATATGCCCCGAACAAACGTTTTCAAAGGTAAAGGTCAAAGGTCATTTCATTTGTCACAGTGACCCAACTCCTGCACTCTGTACCCCGGGATCCGCCATCCCACAATGTCCTTGTACACCAAATCTGCCAAATCTAGTTAATCCAGGTGAAATGGTATAGAAGAAATGCCCCAGACAAACTTCATGGATGGAAGGAAGGAAGGAAAGAAGGACGGAAGGACGGGGCGGACGGAGTGCAAACCTATCGTCTCCCCCACCACCCCTGGGAACCGGTGGGGGACTAAAAAGCAAGACTTTGAGAAAAAGAAGTGATATTTGCAATGAATTGGGGAAATACAAATATCTAGGAAAGGGCCTTTTATATATAATTGCCCCAAATTCACAAAAATAAATCACTGACAAGTTCATTTCAAAATCAAGTGGAATATCAAATCAAACAAGACTGTTCTTGAACACTCAGTTTTCAAGAAAAGTGCTTTATCTGCTGTTGTTCAAGAAAGTTCTTGAACTGTATACAGTATATGTATATGTACTTGCTCAAGAACAGATCTGGAGATGCCCTTGTGCCATTTGAAGGCAGAGAGGTGGGGATGAAGATTGTGAGGTGGAAAGGGGAAGGAGAGGTAAAACTTGGAAGTACAAAATATGAGATTGGGAAGGGATCACAGGAATAGGGGCAAAAAGGGAACTGTATGAAAAGAAATGAGACAGAAATGAAACTGAATTGGAGAAAAAGGAGGAGGGGTAAAGGGAGGTCAATGAGTACAAGTCAGAAGTAGGGAGAAAAAGGTGGTGGATGTAACAGGGAAAGGAGACATGATTAAAAAAGAAAGCACAGGGGAGTTAATCAATTATGGACAGGGGGGAAAGAAGAAAAGTGCAAAGGGGGAGATTAGGAAGAAAAAATATTGAGGAAGATTGAGTTAAGATAAAGGAAGGGAAGAGAACACATATTGCATCTCCAGCACACACGCAGGCATACACACAAAGGGAGATATTAGCGAGGTGGCATAGGACTAGTAGTTAGCGCCTGATAAGGCAGGTTCTGCAAATTCCTCGAAAACGTATTGATTAATGTATATATGCTCATTGTATATCTATGTATACGTATTGTAAAGGTCTTTAGAGTGACTTATGTTAGCTAGATAGGGCACTATATCAAATGTTGTATATTATTGTAATGTTATAGTTATATATACTGTAGCACTCTAAGAAAACATGGAGATAATTGGGCTTACAATTTATTCCCAAGGAGCTCTCATCAGTACTAAATAACCTATTTAATAAAGGGGTTCTGTATAAAAACCAAGATTGAGCCTATAAAAGGCCCCAGGCATGTACTAATATCAACTGTCAAAGTCTGTGTAAATATACCAACTTAATACCGGTACATGTATATCACATTTATTTACAAAATTACAAAATGCTTTAATGCATGTATACTTTAAATTTCCCCTGAATGTTTTAAATGTACAGATGTTTCAAATTTGTATGCTCAAATCATCACTTTCTTTATAAAATATGGTATGCAAGAAAAGTGTTGATGTTTTTGCAATAATTTACAAATGATATATATATAAATATACATGTAATAAAGATATAAATCTTTGAAAAAGATAGGAAAGAGATTTTTATCAGCAAACACTTCAAATATATGCAAACTATTGGGAGCTTTTTATCGGTGAACACTGCAATTAGCTCCAAATATACAAACTACAATTGTTTACTTATATATATACTGTACAGACTGTTCTGCCAGGTAACAAAAACTGTGGTAGCAGGTAGTTTGGAAGTACAGTATATATCATATTTACTAATAACGAGATGTAATTTCCCCAAGATATATTGAAACGCCAAATTGATCACTGGTGATTTTCAAGAAAATTGCTAGATGTACAGTAATTTAAAACACTTAGGTAGATTTGCATCAACAATCCCAAACTATCACAGTCAATAAAATAATTCATAGCTTTTAAAACTCAGATAAATGTCTTAATTGATTTGTACCTATAACCTATCACAACATTGATAAACATGTAAATTCTGTATATTGTATAATGGTCTCCGTCATAAAATATGATGAATACAAAACTTAATGATGTGTTTAGATTTGGATCGTTCACAGCTGTAGATCCGTGTATCATCATGTATATATATATGTGCATCATATCAACAAAAATCTGATTCAAATTCACACACACATTTCTGTGATTTTTATTAGAAAATATATGTCTGTTTAGGGTTCCCGACCAACCCTAGCTTTTTACCCCCGACCAAAAACTTTTTGATAAAAAAAACGAACAAAACACCCCCCCCACTTATTTTCGAATTTTAGAAGGTTCCTTGCCTTTCAAAATGGCTTCTAGCTCCGTGTTAGCGCTAAATGTCAGCATGTGGAGCACAATTTGCCTCCAAATGAACCTTGTTTATTTAATTCTTTGTTTTACATATTAGGGTCATAATCACATGACCACACGGTACACAAAAATATACAAACAAAAAAAACAAAAAACACCCTACCTGCCCTTGTTTTTTTGCCCATGCAACCCTAAACAGAATATTATTTGTTTTGGCCTAAAAGGAGCTTCATACATATTTTATGTATTGCAGATATATCATAATTGAAACTCTATGACTATATAATTGTGAAATGTGAAATTCAAATGACCAAATCCTGCAAACTTTCGTAAAAAATAAGATATTGTTTAGTGCTTTAGTTTACGTCATGTGGCACACGTGGCCACAATATTGCCCGAGAACAATTCAGTAAAAATTGCCAGGTGCTTCCTGTCGATCCAGCGACACATCTTCAGTCACAGCTGTGACTTGTTCATGAATATAATGAAGCTTAGGACCAGGTAACACCTGGCCAGTCTAATAAGTCTTACGGAGAAATTGACTTGCTTCGTTTTCAGAACGTTGAAATGTCTTTATCATTGATGTGTTGTGAACTTGTGATCAAAATTTAAAACTTTATCATATATATTTTAAGGATGATTTAATATTAATTAGTTACATTTGCTATGTTGTAAGGCCAAAAGAAAAAAATATGTGTTTCAGGTATCCAGACCTTCTTTGATGTTCTGTCACCCCTACATGTATATCTATAAAAGATTAATTTATTTGCTAGGCAAAGCTCACAGCCACTCATTAAAATGTCTTTCCTGTTTTGAGAGTCTTGACCCTTTTCTTGACAAATTATATACAATAAATGGTCATTGTAATGTGTGGAAATGAATTGTAAAATTTCATACAAAGCAAATATTGATACGGTATACGATAATAAAAAATATAAACAAAAATAAAATCATTTCCCTATTTTTTCAGGCCTATGACTACCTGAAACACACATATTATTTTGTTTGCCTAAAGTTAACTCTTGCCTCTGATCACTTACCGTGCACCTCAATTTTAAGGAGCTACATTGTAATAGAAGGGACTAGAGAAAGTATATATATATATGTATAGCTGATAAATAGTAAGCTACATGTTTTCACTACTGTTTTATTTAACTTTTGTACAAAAGTGTTGTAAAACCTGGAGATGGATCGAGTGGTGAGACTAACAAAGAAAGAAAAAGGGTTGTAACACCTGGAATTATGCTATTTCAGGCAGAAGTTTTCGGGAGACATGAGTGATTGGACCTTTTCTACTTCTTTTTAAAGTCAGAATGAAAATTTATTTCAATATTTTTTCGAGTGTTACTAATATGAAAGAGAAAAGCGATTATTATTACACTTGCTATCTGTATATGGTATTATAAACTTAGATTTGCTATTAAATTGCATGCAGTTCAAATTTATCTCTTGGAGAAAATATTCATTTATTTAGAACAGTACTGAAGTCTGTGACTTATAAGAATAATACAAGTACATTTTTTAAGTATTTCCATGAAAAGTGGGAGGCACACCTCCACACGGAGACAGCTGAGTGTAAAGTCGCATTTATCTGCATACAAACCAAATGGTACGTTTTGTTCATAGCAAACATGCATACATTATAAGTCATACATGTAACTAACAATTGTATACTACATGTAAATATAGCACAAAATAGAATGAATGAATAAAACTAAATGAAAAATGAATGAACTAATGAATGAATGTTCACAGACAACAAATTCAAGTCCTAAGGTGTTCATCGTGCATAAGGATTCCATTATCCATATGCATGTTTATATAGGTATTGGATGATTAATTAATTTTAATAAAAAAAAGGCCAAAGGAAAGTACCACAAATAAATATAGTTTCTGCAAAGCTAAAAAGATGTACAGAATTTTCTTGAATAATAAAAAAATCGTTAACAAATTAAAGAATATAAAGTTAACAGATTAAAGAATATAATATTTTTTACAGAAAATGCTTAGACAGTCAAACAAGTATAAACGTGTGCATTCTTTACAATCGAAAATCTGATAGGGGCAAAACCAAGCATGACAGTCATTTGTAGTTGTGTAAAATATCTGAGTACTACATATGTGCCTAACAAAGAATTATCAACTCACACAGTGATGCGTGCGAAACAATGAAATACATCGATTTACGAATTTTCAGCGTAAATAACCATGTGGTGGATCACAAAACATTACCTTAACTGTTCGTCAGCATTTATCTTTTGAAGAGATCTCAGAATTCTCACACCATGAAGATAGCATAAGCGGCAAAACCGCATCCAACAAATTTAAAGCGCCGGCTACTTTGACATATCGTAAACATATACAGCTGATAACCCGATGACCCGGAAGTACAAATTTAAACCGGAAGTGTTTTATATGAAATAGAAGCGGTTGTGCATTCAGTAAGACCAAAATTGTATTAATAAATGAATAAGTGAATATAGTTTAAATGTTTCTCCTGTTAAATTTATTCTATTAATAAAATATCGACTACATAATAAAAATCCATACGCTACTCTGAACTACATTCTGTTTGACCTCTGACCGCAAAAATAAAATGGCTTCCAAGTGTATGCTGTTTCGACGTAGTTTGGGAACTGTATGCAGTTTTAGGGACCTCATTGTAAGTACCAGACGACACAAGACATTAATTGTAGCTTCAAAATGATTCATTGTTATTTCAAATATGGTTAAACACTCTACCAGGGAATTGTGTGTCAGTATTTTGTAATTATGGTCAAGGACATCTTATTTTAATGTTTCGTCATCATGAAGCTGACAATGCAAGTATAAGTACTTTCCAAACATTTCATCACAGTGCAAAGTAAAGAAAATTTCATGCTTATTGTGAATATTTTTTCATCACATACACACGTAACAATTACTGCTTTAGACACTAATTGTTATTGGTTGGTAGTCCACAGACTTAGAACTATAATTGAAGATTATTTTTAACTTAAATCACGGACTTAGATCTGTGCTTAAATCCAACGTTACCCCAAGTTTTCTCTGGCCCTGACAGGAGTCATACTCTGACAATGTTTTTGTGTTGGAAAGTTTTGAACGAATCGATCTGCAGCCGTTCCGACTACCTCAAGCAATTTGTACCAGCCAACGGTATACCAATTAAGATTAAGTTTATCCTGCTAGCTACTCCAACAATGTTATAGAGGTTTAACACGGCAAGATACTGTTGACAGGCACTGTCGGCAAAATCACATCCGATAGAAAAAAGGCCGACCAGCGTCCTCTTATGTTTTAGGAGTATAAGATTATCCATACCAAGAGTATTAATTCCAGTACACAATAATTATATTATGTCATGGAACTTGAAAAGGATAGGTATTCCAACCCTGGCATACCGGAGATTGAGAGGTGACATCTCATAAATGTTTTTAAAATAATTAACAACCAACGTACATGACCAGAAAGTAACAAAAGGAATCTTCGAGCTAGATACATCATCTATATATACATATATAGCTAGAACAAGAGGACATGCACAGAAAATCAGGAAAAAACATTGCAAGCATGATATTCGGAAATATTCATTTAGCTTTAGGGTTGTCGAAATCTGGAACAGTCTTCCCGAATATGTTATTATACACATGCACAGAAAATCAGGAAAAAACATTGCAGGCATGATATTCGGAAATATTCATTTAGCTTTATAGGGTTGTCGAAATCTGGAACAGTCGCTTCCCGAATATGTTATTACATCGCCAACGATTAAGGAGAAATTAATCTTGATACAGAACTCATTGGAAAAATCTGAAATACAATCATTTGGCTGCCATAATGGCCATAAAGAAATCTCAGGAAATGACAATTAATGAATATTTTTTTCTAAATACGTTTGAAATATATTAAGATATGGATATAGAGACAGAGTGTCTGTCTGCATACATTATTTATCCTATTGTGTAATTATGCAGCGAGCTATCCCGATATTGCAAAAAAAATATATAAATTTCATGCAGCAAAAGAATTCAGTATTAAATAAAATTAAAGTAAATTATGTGCATGCTTCCTGGAGTTATGTGTTAACTATCTGGATGGAAAAGTGTGGAGAAATGCTGTGCAGATATCAAACTTTCCTTCTTTTGCATAAATTAAATTTGCAGAGAAGTTCGTACAACTTACTGGTATTTATGAGTTGTACAATATACTAGAATTTTCATATTTATATAATATTTACAATTGTATGCCATTACCACTGTATAACCCTACCAACTACAAATTCAGTTGGCATTCATATGGCTATGAATGCCACTGGACCCATTGTTGTATATATGACGTCACCATTATAATGATGTCATAATTGTTACGTTGGATACCACTGACCCTCCCCGGATGATGGCTGTTCTATTCATTCCACAAGCATACACAATACATACCTTATTTGAACTAAATGCTGAATATATATATATAATAATAAGCATAATGGATTTTTTTATGAGATGAACAGATTCTACCCTTGGTAAATATAAGTATTGAATCACTTTTAATTAGCATTCATAGGCAATAAGAGTGCCAACTGAAAGCAGTTCAATGTTTAAATAAGTTTTGTTTACAATTTTCAGATACCATCAGATATATTAGGTACATCTTGTTGTGAGAGGTTCCGACATTATTCAACGCTATCAGAGAAACAGAAGGATGAAATAGCCGCGGGACCAGACTTTGAAGATTTCGTGACAGGAAATGTAGATGCTTCTGACAGATCTGCCCCAAATATCAAAAGAAAAAAAGGAGAAAGGTATGATGTCATGTTTGGAATAGAAGTAAATGACATGACATGTAGCTATAGGTCTATTAATTGTCGATATGGTGATCTAGTCACAGAATGTAGCGTAATGTACACATGTAGTATCATTTTATTGTTGTGTACTGCATCAATACATACATGTACCATTTAATGTCGGTGATCATTTTATTTTGCGACGATTAACAGCCAAATTAAGACTGCTGATTTCGCCTTAGAAAAAAGTACTTCATTTTCAGATAATGGAGAAAAAATGAGGAATCATTCCCAATTTGAATAATTAATGTATAGCGGTATTTATTTTCTTGATTCATAATGGAATGGGTTATAATTTGTTGCAAAATTTAGGTAGAAAAAATCCGCTGCATTTTCATATGCAGCTATAACAGGACAGAAAATGTATACATGTAGAACAGTTATATTTATTTCATTATTTTATTCTAGCTTACTGGCTTACTTTGTTAACATTTTAAACTGTGAAATACAAATTATATGTATGTGAAAGTTCCATGTTATGTTCTATTTATTATTTGGACCAGGAAAGCAATCAGGCTTCATAGCTTTTATCAAATCTTGGAACCATCTAATAATAATAATACATTTGAATGCACATAGTAGCGTTGCATGCATGGCCTTATCCAGTTCAATGGTATCTTATTTGGATGCAAGTCATTTAATTGATGTGTTTAAATTTATAATCTACATTTATGTCAATGCACATTTTCTGTTCGTTGTATCCAGAAGAGTTAAATTATTTGGTGTTGGTCTCTTTGTCAATGTTGAACAACAAGGCAGTAACATAAAAAATGACAATCTACAAGCTTTCATAATGAATTGCTTGTTTTGAACAATTTTTCCTGTTGATTTTTTACAGTACTGTAAATTACGGGGAGTGGGAGATCCAACGTCCGTGTAAATAGTCCAGTCGATCTAGAGTTCTGTGTGTCGAAACTAGTCAACTGATTCTCGATAACAGCTGTTTAACCCAGCACGACGCTGTCATGGTCATCTTTACCTATATTGAGTTACGGTAAATTATTTTTACAGACTTCGTCTGCCCCCTTGGCTGAAGACAAAGATCCCCCAAGGGAAGAACTACCATGGATTGAAGGAAAATCTCAGGGAACTAAACCTTCACACGGTGTGTATTGTAGTCTAGTGTAACTGTAGCAGGAAATGAGTTAGATTTATAATTTCTATAAGATAGTGGTCATTGAGGTACATCCAGCTATTGTGTATATACTACATTGTATTTGGGGTTTTTGGAACTGTTGTCAAACAGTTGGTTCAAAGTTAGACTAACTAGCGCATTCACAAAATCACAGCCTCATCCCATTGTATCAGGGGAAGTAACCGGAGGTATGCCTAGTAGTAAATATGGAATTCCAGTTGACGGAAAGAAAAACAAAATTTACATTCTTTTTGTCTATAGACATGACAAATATTAGCTCTGAAATATTTCACAAAAGTATTCATGTAATCGTGTCTATATATATATGACATTTTCTGGAAGACACAGAGAACTTCCAATGTACACTGAATTAGAAATACTATTGTTCATGTGTTGTAAAGCATCTTAAAGTAATTTTGCAAATTTTGTAGGGTGCTGTAGATGTACAAATGTATATTATTATTACCATAAATTATTCATATGGGGTAAAATCAAATAAATGCCAGATGGGAGTTTTACATAGGATTAAAAGTACTATGGTAATAGAAACACAAATGTGAATCATATTTTAAAAAAAATGGTATCATATTGTCCAGTTTAGCATATCAAATCTCAAAGGTGATTCTTGCTAGGCAAAATTTTTCAAGATTAAAATGTGTTTTCTGTCTGACACACTCAAGTAGGGATATATGTTATTGACTGATATTTTGTTATACAGGTGTGTGAGGAGGCCAAATGTCCTAACATTGGGGAGTGCTGGGGCGGAGGGGACAGCGGTACTGCCACAGCAACCATTATGGTGGGTATAGTTGACAATGACATCATTTCAAATCTCTGATCTATCTTTTTTAAAATCACTGGAAGGGTAAAGGTTTCAGTATAAACACCAATGGGGATATATGTCACTGTAGGAAGGGTGGAGTATAACACTGCATCTCAGACACATGGTTGGGAAGAATAGTTCTTGGTTTAATGGTAAAGACAATGTATTTTTTATTTAAATATTTTCAGAATCTTTCTACCCTCGGCTTGCATTTCAAATTGTTGAGAAGGCATTTTTTTTTATGCAAAGCATAAAATAGTCGTGTAGACCTCAAATTATATGCAGTGAAGAAATGTTTACGTTTGTATTGATGCTGGATTTTGTATATATCCTAGTATATAGATATGTTTGTTTGTATATATATTTTATGAGCTGATTAGGTAAAGCTAAATTTAGCACAATAAAGGACTTATTTAATATGCTACAGTGGGCCATAATGGATAGGTATAATTTTTTGCACAAATAAAGCTGATGTAAGCTAGGTCATCAAGAAATGAAACACAAAACACTAAACATAAACTAATACAATGCTTGACACTGAATATAGAGTAGGGCAATATTAGGCACAGGACATCTACAAAACTGTTTGAACACTTAGTATACCCGCATACAAATCAACCTCCACACATGTTTGCAATTTTTCAAACATTAGTTTGAACATATTATTTCAGTATAATATTTTAAACAAATTATCGTCTGTATTATTTGTGCATTTTGTGCAATAACAAGGATAAAAATTTGACGAGTAGAGATATTTCTGATGATGAAGAGTTGTCTTTCTTCGGTTAGACTTCACAAAAGACAAACCCAATTGTTTTACACAGGTATTGGGAGACACATGTACCAGAGGCTGTCGTTTCTGCTCAGTGAAGACGGCACGGAACCCTCCACCCCCGGACCCAGAGGAGCCACGCAACACTGCTAGGGCTATCACCTCCTGGGGACTCGATTACGTGGTTCTCACCTCCGTAGACAGAGATGGTGGGTCCGAATTTATTAAAGGAATGATCCGTGCTTCGTTGAGAAATTGAAATCATCCACCATACTTCAAAAATTATCTAAGGATTAACTTGAATATATTTTTTATGTGATGGAGATAAAACACACAAAACGGAGTGTACTCTAATTAAACTGCAAGCCGGTTTATGATGAGAATTCACTCCGGTATTTTGTGTTATAGCTCCATAACATAAAAAATATATTCAAGTTAATCCTTATAATTTAATCTACTACATTTTTTGTGTATGTATTGATGGACTCTTTTCTCTTAGAAATTGTTACGCCGCTGTATCAGCCAATCAAAAGCGACGTTACAAACGGCGATGTATTTTTTACGTCATGGGCTAATAACATACATTTTTAAGCCATTTAAAATGCTTGTGACCAGTAAGATTAAATTATAAAAATTATATATATAAGTTTTGGAGTATCTGTGGGTATACAGAGTATGGTAGAATGTAGATGATTTCATTTTCGGTATAATTTGGTTAAACATTAAATTCAACTTACCGTAGCTCTTAAAGCTGTTTGTCGGTGAAAAAGAAAAGTAACAAACAATAGTATGTGTTCGGGATTTTTTTAGTAAATAGTTTAAACAATGTCTTGGTGAGATCACTGATCAAGAGTTTGTGTTGAGGTATTGAGATATTGGTCATTAGCAATATAAACAGTATTAATACAGGAAAATCATTGCGACAAATACCTAAGCACTTCATTATTTATGCAAATAGCGTATTTGATCACAAATAAGCCCCCATCCCTAGTTGGAAACAATTGACCAAAACTGAAGTAGGGAGGGGGCTTGATAGGGTCTTATTTTCGGTCATATACAGCATTAACATTTGGATTTGAAATCATTTGATAGTACCTGGTAATGATATGTGGATTGCGAAACTGTGAAATATGATTTTCATATATTTCAATTTAATGAATAAAACAGCGATCATCCAGCTAGTTTCTGTGGTGTCTGACTTTGTCATTGAGGTTAACAATAATATTATAATAATAATAATATAAGTGCATAATATTACACCGCACTGAAAGGGTACATATTTTAAGGGAAATCCTATATTTGTGCTTTTCATGGTTTCATTACTGTGCTAAATCATTATTGCACTTATTTAATTTCTGTATATTGAAGTGCTAAATCATTATTGCACTTATTTAATTTTCTGTATATTGAAGTGCTAAATCATCATTGCACTTATTGAATTTTCTGTATATTGAAGTGCTAAATCATTATTGCACTTATTCAATTTTCTGTATATTGAAGTGCTAAATCATTATTGCACTTATTGAATTTTCTGTATATTGAAGTGCTAAATCATTATTGCACATTGAAGTTCATCGATGTACTCCCTGTTAGATTAGATAATATGTTAAAATTTTGCATAAAATTCAAGCATGCTAATATAAAATTAAATGTGTTTATGGAAACAAAGTCCATGCGAAAGTTCATGGCTTTGACTTGTGAGGGAAATAGGCATTTTCTATATATATTTTTCTGCATTGGTTCTAGAATACTTGTAAAGTGAAGAAAAAAATCTAAATCACTATCTTTCCAGGACTAGACTAGGTTGTCACAATTACATTGTTATTATATCCTGGTCTTTGTTTTTTAAATTCCAGATTTGCCAGATGGAGGAGCGGCACATTTCGCCCAGACTGTACAAGAAATAAAGAAAAGGTCCATAAAAGTACAGACACTGTATTGCTGTGTACATGTACACAGCAATACAGTGTCTGTACATGTACTCAGCAATACAGTGTCTGTACATGAACACAGCAATACAGTGTCTGTTCATGTACACAGCAATACAGTGTCGGTACTGGTACACAGCCATACAGTGTCTGTACATGTACAGAGCAATACAGTGTCTGTACATGTACAGAGCAATACAGTGTCTGTACATGCACACAACAATACAGTGACTGTACATGTACACAACAATACAGTTTCTGTACATGTACACAGCAATGCAGTGTCTGTACATGTACACACCAATACAGTGTCTGTACATGTAGACAGCAATACAGTGTCTGTACAAGTACAAAGCAATACAGTGTCTGTACATGCACACAACAATACAGTGACTGTACATGTACACAACAATACAGTGTCTGTACATGTACATAGCAATACAGTGTCTGTACATGCACACAACAATACAGTGACTGTACATGTACTCAGCAATACAGTGTCTGTACAAGTACACAGCAATACAGTGTCTATAGATGTACACAGCAATACAGTGTATGTACATGTACACAACAATACACTGTCTGTACTTGTACACAGCAATACAGTGTATGTACATGTACACAACAATACACTGTCTGTACTTGTACACAACAATACAGTGTCTGCACATGTACACAGCAATACAGTATCTGTAGAAGTACATAGCAATACAGTGTCTGTACATGTAAACAGCAATACAGTGTCTGTACGTGTACACAGCAATACAGTGTCCGTACATGTACACAGCAATACAGAGTCTGTAGATGTACACAGCAATACAGTGTATGTACATGTACACAACAATACAGTGTCTGCACATGTACACAGCAATACAGTGTCCGTACATGTACACAGCAATACACTGTCTGTACATGTACACAGCAATTCAGTGTCTGTACATGTACACAGAAATACAGGGTCCATAAAAGTACAGACACTGTACTGCTGTGTACATGTACAGACAATGTATTGCTGTGTACATGTACGGACACTGTATTGCTGTGTACACGTACAGACACTGTATTGCTGTTTACATGTACAGACACTGTATTACTGTGTACATGTACAGACACTGGATTGCTGTGTACATGTACAGACACTGTATTGCTGTGTACATCTACACGTTATTGGGTACACATGTACTGCAGTACTGTCTGGCTTAAATCAGATGGACGTAATCCTAGTTTATCAGAGCTTTAGGACATTACTGTGATGAGGACCCTATCCTTTGGGTACCGTAAACCTGGTCAGTCGACATAATAACAGAATGAGTTAAAAGAGAGACAACTCTTGCAAAATATTCATGAAAATGTCAAGTCTGAATATTAATGTGAGGATCAGTGAAATGAACTTCTTGCTCATATATCCATATGACCTTCCTCATAGATAGCTTATTGTATAAAATCTGAGAAATTTCAATAGATTCTGGTCCTGTTTTATCATACCAATTCACTCTCCTGACACCAGGGGCTAGTAGATTTTGTGTTGGGGTTCTGAAATTTTCCAATATTTATTTTGAAATATACATATGATGTATATGCTGGGTTGATATCAACGTTTTACTTTTTACACAAACAATGTACGTATTCAATGTGTCCCAACGTTTCAAGTTGCGACATGCTTAATACGTACATTGTTTGTGTAAAAAGTAAAACTTTGATATCGCATATTTCAAAACTGATGAATCTTATTGAAGATATTAGAATTAACTATATGTTGGGCTTTTAGACGTTTTTGGAAGCAATCTGTGTACTGGTGCTTTAAATACAAAATTATACATCCCTGTACATAGATCCGAGTCTTTTCTGGCAGCATTGTATCCTGTTAGAGTCTTCCTAATACCGTTTCTCCTGTAATCACAACAGCAAGGACATGTTGGTGGAGTGTCTCACGCCTGACTTCCGTGGCGATATGAACTGTGTGGAGATTGTGGCAGACTCGGGTCTGGATGTCTACGCACACAACGTGGAAACTGTGGCAGAATTACAGTGGTAGGTCATATACAGTAAGACCTCGTTATACTGCCACAATCTGTCGAGAAAAAGAATGCCATTATAAAGGGGTTAGGCAATAAATTGAAGGAAACTTATAAGGGAATTTTTAAGAAAGAACTGTGAAATGTATTGCCTGAAAGCAAGGTGGCGAAAGAAACGAGGGACATTATATCGAGGTTTTACTGTACATTTATATAGATAAAGTGAAATTTCAGGAGATCTAAAAATTATGATATAAGGGAATGTCAAAATCAAATCCATGGTATATGTTAAACCACTATTCAGTCCATGCAATGTTACTCTATTTCCTGCACTTTGATCAGTTGTTAGAAGGGGCCGCGGTGGCCAAGTGGTTAAGGTGTCTGACATTCTGCTTCTACTAGCCCTCCACCACTGGGTTGCGGGTTCGAGACCTACGTGGGGCAGTTACCAGGTACTGGCCATAGGTCTGTGGTTTTTCTCTGAGAACTCCAGCTTTCCTCCACCACCAAAATCTGGCATGTCCTTAGATGACCATTGCTGTTGATAGGACGTAAAACACAAACAAACAAAATTAATTTTTGCAATCAGTACAAATTACATATTTTGGACTGATAGATAAAGTGTATCATCAAAAAATATATTGTAAAATAACCTCTAGCCTTAGTAAATGATGTTTTTTTGCGGAAGAAATGTAGATTATTGGAAAAAAGTCACATAAATATTTAAGGAATAAATAAAATTTATTTCTTTTTCGGTTCTGTTATGTTCACGTTCTATGGTCAGATTATGGAATGGTTAATCCAGTTTGCGGGGACAATGATTATTGAGTAATGGTCACTGTAGTCTGTAGTTACATGCTAAACCTATAGGAGTAGAGCTGTATCTTGGGAATGTTTATAAAACAGATTTAAGGTATAATTTACTTAATATCATATTATATGTGGCACTGTTGATTAAGACATTCTCTCCTGTAAATAATTTGTGGAGTACAATGTATGTGAAAGGACAATGTATTTGAAGAGCTTTTAACAGAAACCGGCAGAACTATAAATTGAAGTCAAAAAGAAAGTAAGCGTGCAGGTAAACAAAATGATCTGATACATGCTGATCGCGCTGCAGCAGAAACAGGCTAACATACCTTATATAGTGTACATGATGACCTGTGAGAAGCCCACGCTAGATATTCATTTCACACCTTGGCACATATCACAAGTCGATGATATTTCTGGTCTGCATATAGGTTTGAGAATTCTCCGAATTTTCTAATGTCATCTGGGTTTATTTACAGGTCAGATATGGTCCATATATACCACAGAATAAGTAATCACCCATTTCTTTTCCTTACAGGCTGGTCCGAGATCCACGGGCCAATTACAAACAGTCTCTCAAAGTTCTGGAACACGTGAAGACATTCAAACCAGACATGGTCACGAAGACTTCCATCATGCTGGGCCTTGGGGAAACTGACGATCAGATTCTAAGAGTGCTAGAAGGTTTGATAATCAAATTTACAGTTGCATTTATATAATATGATCTTAAAAAAGTTTTCAGTAATTGTGAGATTTTATCATAAAATAAGTTTTACCTAGGGTGTCACCGTCTGTCCTGGTAAAAAAACAAAAAAACAACAACGTTGTGACGAGTTACATAAGTTTCACATATGAAACAAATTCAATATAATTTTATCGCATTTATTAATACAAAGAATAATACTATTATTTGAACGAAATGAACCACAGAACACTAAACATAAACTTATACAATGCTTGCCACTGAATATAGAGTAGTGCAATATTAGACACAGGACATCTACAAACACATAGTATACCTGCATACAAATCAATCTCCACATGTTCTTGCAAAGATTTTGCTTGATATCATCATGTTTTTCAATGTTGCCATTTTTACATTATACTTGTTGTCGTCAATGCAGTATTGTAATTCTATGATGTCGTGTCAGTTATCAGATTGTTAAGGCTTTACCCAGATAGTCTATAGTTACCCTGTGTTATCTTCAGCACAGTGCCACAATGCTATGTCTGTATTTTCTTCATCCAACACTACAACGCTATGATGTCTTGTTTTATCTTCAGTGAGACATCGTGATCACCTTTTATTGGCATCATGTCTGTAATACTGACATCACCGTGGCTGATATTACAGTTTAAGAGTGAAACCTGGGTCACTTTCATTTATCGCGATTCAAACGAATGAACTGGTTGGACCAGAGTTGTTTGTTTATGAAATAAGATCGGACCTAGTATTAAATTTGATGCTGCTTTCAAACGACCCTTGACAAAGTCTTGCATTAGGTCTGCACTAACATTTGCAGGTCCGCCAGGACTTATACCCGAAAATGTTACTTTTAAAAACAGACAAACCAGTTGTTCTGCATAAATGAACAGGCCTGCTACATTTAAAAACACAAAAGAACACCATGAAGGGATCCCATGCTCAAGTATGGAATTTGTGCTCAAGCCTAATTTCTTGTTTTAGTTATAAATTAAAAAACAACTCTTATTTTGACAAAGATTTGGAGAAAAAAATTGAAGAAACTCAAAGCCAAATACTATTTTCAATTTTCACATTTGACTTTTTTTTAATCGTTTGAGATTATTTAAGTGATTTACAAGAAAGTAGGTTTGAGCACAAAATCCATGCTTGAGCATATGAGACCAGTTTCCCTGAAGCAAAAACAAATGGTCAGAATATACTGAATTTCAGAATGTACCTCTAAAATTTGCATAGAAATATGTACAGTACGTGTGACCTAATAAATATAGATCTGGTTTGTATGTTTCCAGACTACAAACGTTGCATCTATAGAGGTTAAACTAATGAATTCCTGCATTAGTTGTATGCTTGAATTTTGTTTTAGTTCTATGGTAGAGTTATCTCCCCTGCAACGTAAAATTATCATTTTTTGATTTTCAGATCTCAGGAAGATAGATGTTGATTGCCTGACTCTGGGCCAATATATGCAGCCAACAAAAAGGCATTTAAAGGTAACAGCTGGGATATTTAATCTGTTAAATAGTTAAAATTCTAAAAATGGTGTTTGAATTTGTTTATTAGATATTTATTTTTGTTTAATCTTTATACATGAACAACAACTGGAAATTCGTCCTGAAATTATTTCTAAGCATTGTTCAATGCAGACAATAAAAAGAATTAACAGTATGCATTGAAATATTAAGTATTGGTTGTTACATTTTATTATCTGTTCAGATATGTCAGAGAATGATTTGAAATATTTTGAGGAAAAAAACATACCTAAGGGACTGTCTCACTTGGGAGTATCTTTGAAAGTAGAAAGTCAGACGGTGCCAGTAGAGAGTCATTAAGATTTATTTTCACATGTAGGTTAATTTATTTGTTTTTCTTACAGGTAAAAGAGTATGTCCACCCTGACAAGTTTAAACACTGGGAGGAGATTGGAGATAAGCTTGGCTTTGCCTACACGGCCAGTGGGCCGCTGGTCAGGTCATCCTACAAAGCCGGTCAGTACATGTAACCCGCTCTGTCCTTCAACCTTAAAAATTAGTAGCCATTTCTAGTTTTGGGGCCAATATTGTGACACTGGTCCTCAGAATGCCTCTTAATATGCTTCTGAAAAATGATATTGCACACCTTTTCCTTTATGACATTGTACATGTTCTTTCATTTAAAATCATCAGAATTAAATTCTCTACTCTTTGTTACTATACTATAATAACACTGTCAAAATTTGCTGATGTTTTCAATAATACTTTCTGTTAAATTCACTTATTCATTCATTCATTAATCATATTATAATGTGATAAGAACTTTTCTAAATTTTTGTTTCCACTCCATATATGGAATCTATAAAAGCCACCCAGAAAACTTATTTTCAGTTTATCACAGGCTTGAACAAAATATTTCCAATTGATTATGATTTAAACATATTTTTATTTGCATCTAATATACAAAAGGGATTGGGCACACGTTGTCCAACTTATGTAAAGCCCTTTCCAAATAACATAGTAAAATATGTATTATCAGGATGGCAACACTGTCCAGTATTTATTACACTCCGCTTTTCTAATGTTCATAATTTCCCGTGCCACTATTGCCTTCTCCTTGTCAATTCCATTCCTTCTGGTATTTTCTTATCACTAGTACCGTTTGTATTGGGGATGATTAGATTTCCAATAGTTCCGTAACAAATAAATAAATGGTCATCGTTCAGACTAAGGCAACACTTTACGATAATGTTAATAGATAGTATTGTAAAATAAAGCTGATTAAGTCATCCAGATAATTTAGACCGTTTCATTAGCCTCATAATGATGTGAAATGAAAATTATTTTAATCAGTAACATTTTCCGAGACCACTTCATCAGATTATCAAAAACATGTACTGTTATTTTTGTAGAGATCATTCTTTTGTACATTAAACCGGAAAGTCAGCTCCTTACTCTTAAATGAATCAAGTGTGCTGATACCATTTTGTTTTCGATTTGTAAAATTCTTATCTAAGTAACATTTTTGATTAAGTTTTATAATTAAGGCATTTTTTTCTTTCTATCACAGATAACTATTAAAAGTGTGTATATTTGTTTATTGGACTCAAAAAATCAAAGATGGCCACCTGTTGCCAATTTTTGTCCAGAAGGTATAAAATAAAATTTGAGTTCTGGACAAAAAACATCAACCATTTCCTAACAAAATTTTAACAGTAGAATTAATAATAGAAAGTTCTAGCCTGACAGAAATCACTTTTTCTTATCCATTATAACTGAATGTTCTTTTTTACTACTTTCAGGGGAGTTTTTTATAAAGAACGTCTTGAATTCACGAAAGAAATCCGCATTTGCTACTTGAAGTTTGGACAAGTGAAATAAATTCCAAAGGTCATGTGACCAGTCATGTGACCATACTGTGATGCACTCATCTCTAATATCTGTGATGGTCTAGTGTATTAATTCCCTGATCTGTGATCATGGTCTCATAATGGACTGTTTTGATGAAAGAGTATATATGTGCATCACATTTTCTAAGAATCTCAGGAATTGGATGAGGTTATTTTTGTTGGCAGTCACTGTCATAAAAGAGCTGTTGATCTTCATGTTATCTCCGAGATTGAGCTTCAGACAACCTAGAAAATTTTCATTTGTCTGAATTTTAGCATTTTGTGTTGTATGGGGATGTTAAACCACAAACAAACAAACAAAAATACACTTAGCATAAATAAAGAGTTTGATGCGAGTTCAGTTTTACCTATATCACATGTAGATGGAGAAGTACTACCTGGAAACGACGGACAAAGACATAGGATGTTTCTGTTTTACAACACAAACGGTTACTGTTCTGTTACAGAAAATATGTCATGGATTTGTCCCTTCTGTTTGTATTCGGTTTAGCTACTGGGAAATGAAGATTCAGCTTTCAAAAATGTTCGACTGTAAATAACAAGGGATTACATTAACAACTTCTACTTCGTTCAATGCATTTATTCAAAAGGTATCCATGTCCATACTTGTAGAGCTCTTTTTAACTCATTCACCCCTGAAATTCCATAATAAATTATTCCAACCTTTGAATTGGAAGAGTTCAAAAGTGTCTTCAGGGGGGAAAGAGTTAATGAGGCCTTTGGTCCTAACTGCATGCATTTCCTGTTATCATTATGACATTGACATGCTACTTTGTTATAAGCAGTTATTTGCAATAAACATAAGCATTTTTTCCTTTACACTCACTTTGTAGGAACATCGTTATTCAGACAGTCTTGATTTATCCCCTGTCCTATTCAATGCAGTTCTAGCTGATACCATCAGGATCGTGGGTTTGATGATTGGGTATTGCTAAGATATATAGATTTGTTATTAATTTAAAAAAGTGTACAGTGCAAAATCTGAGCAATTTTAACGAATGTTAAGTTTTTGGAGTGTAAAGCATGAAACCAAGTGTATTTATATTTGTATTAATTTATCAACTTTTCATTTTGTAAAAACAAAATAAAAAGATATCATTGTAGTCATGTGTTTTCTTTAAAAAAAATATTGTAATCAAAGGAAATCCATACTCACCAGAGCTTTTTAGCTCACGTGGTCTCACCTGGTCCAAAGGACCATAGTGAGCTTATGCCATACCGCACCGTCCGTCTGTCAACTTTTCCTTTAAAAAGTCACTTGTCCTGAACAGCGAAGTAGATTTTGACTAAATTTGGTCTGCAGCATCCTTAGGCCAAGGGGATTCCATTTTGTATAGAAGGTGGGTGTGGCCGCCCTGGGGGCTGAGGGGTAATTGGGGAAATATAGCAAATTCTTTAAAATCCTTCTTCTTCTGTAGGAATGAAAGGATTTGGTCCATATTTGGTCTGAAGCATCCTTAGGTGAAGGGGGAACCAATTTTGTGTAAACAGTGGGTTTGGCCCAATAGCGGAAACATAGCAAATTATTCTTTAAAATCCTTCTTCTGTAGGAATGAAAGGATTTGGTCCATATTTGGTGTGGAGCATCCTTGGGTAAAGGGGAACCAATTTTGTATAAACGGTGGGTAAGGCCCCCCTGGGACCTGAGGGGCGGGGCCGAATAGGAGAAATAGAGGTAAAACCTTTATAATCCTTCTTCTGTAGGAATGAAAGGATTTGTTTCATATTTGGTCTGAAGCATCCTTGGGTGAAGGGGAACCAATTTTATATACACCGTGGGTGTGGCGGGCCTGAAGGGCGACGCCCAATAGGGGAAACATTGCAAATTATTCTTTAAAATCCTTCTTCGTCTGTAGGAATGAAAGGATTTGGTCCATGTTTGGTGTGGAGCATCCTTGGGTTAAGGGGAACCAATTTGGTATAAACCGTGGGTGTGGCCCCCTGGGACCTAAGAGGTGGGCCCAATAAGGGAAACAGCAAGTGTGGCATCCCTGGGGGCAGAAGGGAGGGGCCCAATAGGGTAAACATAGCAAATTCTACAAAATCCCTCTTCTGTAGGAATGACTGGATTTTGTCCAAATTGGGTATGAAGCATCCTTGGGTGAAGAGGAACCAATTTTGTATAAACGGTGTGTCTGACCCCCCTAGAGGCAAAGAGGCGGGGCACAATAGGGGAAATAGAGGTAAAACCTTTAAAATTCTTTTCCTACCATAGGGATTAAGGGATTTTATCCTAATTTAGTCTGGAGCATCCTAGGGCCAAATTGATCGACCCAATTGGCTCCCATATACCGTAGAAGTCAATAAAAGTTGGTGCGAGACATGGGCAAAAGTTTTAGCAAAATCTAGGATAATGATCGAGGCCTGTCTGTAGTTTAGCGACAATTTTGCTCTCATGGTTACTCTCAAGGTTGATCAAGGTTGCCCTCAGGGTCTTGGTAAGAAAATAGGTTTCCCAACTTCTTCTAGTCCTCAACCCATAGTGGCAATCTTTCAGAAGGTTGTTCTTGTCAAGGTTAGTCACGACGTTGTACACAATTGATGTTACAGCTTATACAGAAACGATAATTACAGACTTTATACCTCTCTCCCCTCGTGAAGACGGACAAAGTTGTACACTACCATTTGGGAAGTTCATTAATCGTTCTTTTATTAGCTCACCTGCCCGAAGGGCAAGTGAACTTATGCCATGGTGTGAGGTCCATCTGTCCGTCGTTAACGTTTTACTTTAATCATGTCTTGTGTTCTAGTTATCAAATTTGGTCTGAAGTTACCTACATGTAGATGTCAGTTCCATGTAACAAAAGAAACAGGTGAGCGATACAGGCCTTCTTGGCCTCTTGGTTTTTTTTCCTCCATGAATCAATATATATGCTTTATGACAATTTTTGTTTCTTAAAATGAATTTGTATGCATTTCAGTGGTGAGTGTGAATGTGGTCAGGATCCCATGACCAGAACAGGAAGAAAGTACATGTAAAATTGAAGGAATGACTGTGAGCATTGCCTGGCTATTAGATTGATCTTCATGGTGTACATTTAGGTGGTAAAATGTTCTAAGGTCGACAGGAAAGATTAAGGAAGATCATGATCAGGATACCTGAAACATATGTTTTTGGCCTTACTGTAGTTTATATTTTTCTTACTTTTTGTGGGATTTTTTTTAATGGGTTGGAATGATTTTCATTTGATGGTATGAAAATTAAGAATCTGGACCATCTCTAGGGCCTGAAGGGAGGGGCCAAAGAGGGCAAATTGGCTGAAATTTCAACAATCTTCTTCTTCAGATCCAAATTTGCTAGAATCAATACTCTTCATGGATGGAAAGGTACGAAGTCGCTTTATCTGAACTTGTTATTTCATTACCCACGTGTCATTCATTCCTCCACTGGAAAGGGTAAATTTTACGAAAATATCTTATTTCATTTTTTCACTTTTTTTTCTGAGAATTGTGAGCAATATTTGTCGGACAATTATGTACCGCCCATATTATATATGATATATATTTATATATTATTTTTTAGCCCCACAACAGTTTCAGGGTGGGTGGGTGTGACTAGGTTTGCACTCTGTCTCTCCATCCGTCCAGAGAAGTTTGTCAGGGACATATCTTCTATACTTTTTCACCTGGAGTAACCAGATTTGGTGTACAAGGACAGCTTTGGATGATGGAGTGTACATAATTAGGTCACTGTGACGCATGTTTTGACCTTTGACCTTTACTTTTGAAAATGTTGGTCCGGGACATATCTTATATACTTTTTTACCTGGCATTTCTAGATTTGGTGCACAAGGACATCTTGGGATGGCGGAGTGTACAGAATTAGGTCAATGTGACCAATGACTTATACATTTGAAAACATTTGTCCCGGGCATATATCTTCTATACTATATTTCACCCGAGTAACCAGATTTGATGAAAAAGGACATCTTGGGATGGTGGAGGGAAGTAGGTCACTCTTACCTCACTGTGATCGACCTATGCTTCCTGACATAAGTGTACTGTTTGTTAAATATAGAAATTCTTACCGGTTGGGGACTATATGGGTTGCCTTGTTTATAAATATTTAAGCACAGTACATATGTAGATCATATTTCTGTCATTTTGTCTTAAAATATTTCGGTACTTAAGGGATCAGGCGATATATTGACAAAAAGTATTGAAATAATAACAACAACAATTAAGGCCTATACATGAAATATCTGGCAGGTTTTCTTAATTAAAATACAATTTTTTTAAACCACCATTCATTTCATTTTCATGTCAGAATTAATATTTGGCGCACCTAGCATGTCCTAAGGAGGGATTCTGTTAATTTTGTTACCTTAAAGCTCTAAGCTGGTGCTTCACACGGGATCTACACTAGTACTATCATCACAAAGGCTTGTAGCTAGGCATGCAGTGCCTATTTCATATTATGTGTTCGGGTATAAAGCCCATCAGTAATCGGTATATGTAATATCCAATTGATTTGAATTGATGCAAAATAAAACTAGATTACAATTGGAATAGCACAAATATAGTGATTATTTTGCTGCACTTGAGTGCATTGTTAAAATGTCCATACCCAACTGTTAAATGGTATCAATCCCAATATTTCAAATTCGTCAAAAGTTTATATTCGTGTGTTAATTAGCCTTGGGTGTGTTTTTTGGTTTGTTTTGGTCTTTTGGGGGTGATTTTGGGTAAATCGTTGTTCCCTGTCGAATGTTTATATTATAACGTCAGTATATTTAAAAAAATATATATTATCGTTATTGTCACTAGACAATTCAATTGACTTGAATATACATGTTACTGTTGCAGTGACAAAATAGTATATGCAAAGGCATGCATCGACGTAAGCGGACTGTCCATATATCGCTACGGGGCTGTCCCTGGCCGGGTAGGATACTGGCAGGCGTTATCGGATTTGAATCCTTTTTCGGTCATTAGTCGCACCCTTAACGCCAAAAACAAAATGGCAGGCTGTTTGGTCAGGGCACGAGCTTACCGGCTTCTCAATTCTAGACTCGGTTCAATAAGCAATGCAAAATGTTTGTTTCAAGACCTAGGATACAAATTCAGAATACCAAGGCCGTGTTCCTCTCTGACAAGGAACGGAAAAGGAATTCAGCGCCCAGTAAGCAAACCACGTGTCCGTGCGATTGTCGACAGGCTCAATTACTTCTCTACCACACCCATAGCTTCTACGACAATAGATCTAGAGCAAGGGACACACAGAATTATAAACCATAGAAAGCTCGCTGCTAAAGTGTTAACAGATTCAGATGCTGATGTGCATCGTCTCATCTGTGGATATCTCATCGGAAGAGGAGGACAGAACATTAAAAAGTTGCGATTGGAAACTGGGTTAGATTTTGACCTTGATACTAAAACAAAACCAGATCTAGGCCCAAGTCTTCTTGTATTCGGAACAGATTCTGAAGTGTTAAAGAGTGAAAAAAAAATAATAGCAGAAGAGGTACAAAAGATAAGAAACTGCATAAGAAAAGTGTTTACAGATGAAGATGTTGACATTCATGCTAACATTGTAAAACATATCATTGGAAAAGGAGGACAAAACATACAAAGATTGAAACTGGAAACCGGATTAGATTTTAAACTCGACATTATCAAAACAGGACTAATTGTTCATGTGACTGATGCTGAAATGTTGAAGAGTGCAACAGAAAAAGTGACAAGAGAAGTTCAGAGAATGAGAAACTGCATTGAAAAGGTGTTTACAGATGAAGATGTTGACATTCATAATGAAATATATAGCCTTATCATTGGAAAAGGAGGAAAAAACATACGAAGATTGAAATTGGAAACTGGATTAGATTTTGATCTCTCCCGTATCAGCAAAGGTCTACTTGTTCAAGTGGCTGATGCTGAAATGTTGAAGAGCGCAACAGAAAAAGTGACAAGAGAAGTTCAGAGAATGAGAAACTGCATTGAAAAGGTGTTTACAGATGAAGATGTTGTCATTCATGGTTATATTGTAAGAAAAATCATTGGAAAAGGAGGACAAAATATACAAAGAATGAAAACTGGATTGGATTTTGAACTCTTCATTATCAGCACATGCCTAGTTTTAATTGGGACTGATGGTGAAACGTTGAAGAGTGCAACAGAAAAAGTGACACAAGAAGTACAAAGAATAAGAAACTGCGTAGGAAAAGTGTTTACAGATGAGGATGTTGACATTAATAATGAAATATATAACGGTATCATTGGAAAAGGAGGACAAAACGTACAAAGATTGAGATTGGAAACCGGATTAGAGTTTGATATCGACAGTATCACCACATGTACAGGACTACTTGTATCTGTGACTGATGCTGAAACGTTGAAGTGTGCAAAAGAAAAGGTAACACAAGAAGTACAAAGAGTAAGAAACTGCATTGGAAAAGTCTTAACAGATGAAGATGCTGACATTAATAATGAAATATATAGCCGTATCATTGGAAAAGGAGGAAAAAACATACAAAGATTGGAATTGGAAACTGGATTAGATTTACATCTCTCCTCTATCAGCAAAGGTCTACTTGTTCAAGTAGCTGATGCTGAAATGTTGAAGAGTGCAACAGAAAAAGTGACAAGAGAAGTTCAGAGAATGAGAAACTGCATTGAAAAAGTGTTTACAGATGAAGATGTTGACATTCATGATTATATTGTAGGAAATATCATTGGAAAAGGAGGACAAAACTTACAAAGACTGAAATTTGTAACCGGATTAGATTTTAAACTCTCCATTATCAGCACAGGCCTACTTGTAATTGGGACTGATGGTGAAACGTTGAAGAGTGCAACAGAAAAAGTGACACAAGAAGTACAAAGAATTAGAAACTGCGTAGAAAAAGTGTTTACAGATGAAGATGTTGACCTTCATGCTAACATTGTAAGAAATATCATAGGAAAAGGAGAACAAAACATAGAAAGATTAAAAATGGAAACCGGATTGGATTTTGAACTCGAGAGTATCACCACAGGCCTACTTGTTATTGCGTCTGATGCTGAAATGTTGAAGAGTGCAACAGAAAAAGTTACACAAGAAGTAAAAAGAATAAAGAACTTGATAGAAAAAAACTGAACTGATCGAACAATATTAACACATTAAATATACTGAAGCTCATCATCATTGCAGAATTTCAGGAATGGTCAGTAATTAATGATCAGAAGTTAAGATTGAAAGGATTAGTTTTTATCACATAATGTCGTGTGTTATCTAGTGAATATAGCGATGTCATATTTTTTTGCGTAACATGTGGTCATACTATTTATTACCTATGCAATATGACCTATCGGCCCTGTGATTGGTTTCAATTGTTTGATGTCACAGACTTGCACACTGGAGTTAAAATGGCTGCTTTTTACATTTTAACCCTTGTAGTGCTACGACAGCCTTTTGGCTGTCTGGATAAGCGCTAGGTATTTCCCGGCGATTATGAAAAAAAATATCAATAAATACACAATCCCATGACTTAAATAGTTATTCAATAGGAAGCTATATATCTTTGCATTCGTTTTTCATAAAAAAAACTTTAATACATTTCTCCCTTTCGTCTCTGTATCAAGAAGTAAAGCCCTGTCAACTGCGCTATTTCCAGAATATGCGATATTTCTAGCCGTGTTACATCATCGGAAACATGTGCACAATACAAAGGTGGTAGCGATAGGTAAATCTTGTACCGGACCCTGACTGAAACCCTGTACCAGGAATATAAAGATATCTTAATATCTCATTAACGCGATTGTTTATACTTTTTAGGTCACCTGAGACAAAGTCTCAAGTGACCTATTGTGATCGCCTTTTGTCCGTCGTCGTCGTCCGTAAACAATTTACATTTTCGACTTCTTCTCCAAAACCCCTGAACCAATTTCAATGAAATTGTGCAGGGACCTTCCATGGACAAAGGTCAACAAAAATGATTGCCAGTTTAGTCCTAAGCCCCCAGGGGCCTGAGGGGCGGGGCCAAAAAGGGTCAAATTGACTAAAATTTCAAAAATCTTCTTCTCCAAAACCCCAGAACCAATTTCAATGAAATTTTGCAGGGACCTTCCATGGACAAAGGTCAACAAAAATAGTGGCCGGTTTAGTCCCAAGCCCCCAGGGGCCTGAGGGGCGGGGCCAAAAAGGGTTGAATTGACT